GCCAAGAGAAGTCAAGTGTCCGTCCCTCCTTCGATTGGCAAGGACGGCCCATTGGAGTTGTGTGCCCAGCTGTACTGCTGCCTAGTGCTAGGACAACAGATTATATACAACACGACAGACTTATTCGAAAGTTATGGGATACCAGGAGAAGACAGGACACTGTGTTTGGGTTGCAGTAACAGCTGTATAAGCCTAAAGAGCATAAACCAACAGTTCTATACTCGGTAACTAAAAGTGGCACCTCGTTGTCCGCGTTGGGAAGTGATTGACAAAATACCCAGAGATGTTCCCATAGATTATTTAAGGGTTAATGAGCCGCCCTTTCTCGGTGAATATGGTGTGATAAAGCATTGTCAGTTGCTATAACCAAATCATAAAACCACCAAGCGAGCGCAGCGTAATGGGTGGCTTCATGAGGTGGTTATAGCAACGGACAAGGCTTTATCACACCATATTGACCGAGAAAGGGCGGGCCATTAACGCTATTATCATATAGCTTACACAATAGTCTATCCAAACTGATGCAGTGAAGAGTGACACAATGTACAATTTACCCGTTGCACATGCTGAATAGAACATAGAATATTTGTTCCACCTGGAATCACCTGAGGTCAGGGGCGGGTTCACTTTCTATCTGGGTCACAGACAGGGAACAGGTGTTTTTGAGTTAAGTGCGTGTACCTAACAATGTACCGCAGGAAAGTGCATTCACGTGTGTCACGACGTGGTGTATCGGGTTACCTGGTGGCATTTATGGTGGCTAAAACACTTACAATGGACCGGATTCATGTGGTTTGGAGAATCCTTTGGTGACATTTTGTTTGTCACAGTAATTGACTCAGTCAACACATACCTGTACTGCAGGACTTGGGTTCAAACGTCGATCTTGTGAATCACTCGTGAGTAACACGTGAAACAATGGTCACTGTGAAGGATGAGCTGTCATCACTAAGTTCAGGAATCATGCTGTAGGCCTGACGTTTCATCGTGTTTCCTGCTTTACTTTAAACACTTAAACAAAGTACTGAGTTATCAGTGGGGCTCATTATTTTGAAACTCTGGGAGGAGTTATGCATCAGGATAGGATCGTTTACACGGCTGACTTCTCTATAACAAAAATAAAAAACATAACTAGAGTTCGGAGGACTCATGCCTTCGACAGTGTGATATTGCTTTCGTGGGTGTTGTGTGTATGTATAGTGTAGGCTTTTTGAAGATGATTATCGTAGTTTCCGTCAGGACCAAAGAAAAATGCTCGCAGTTGTATATCGCGTTGGGGTGGACGGATGTAATTGGGACTCGGTATACGTTCTGCTATTGGGCTGTAGATGGTGCACGGTCTTTTGTTCTTATTGTATATGTGTTTTCAGGCGTGAAAATGAATTTTATTGGCGGCCCCCGGACACCCCTTTGACTCAGTTTGAGTCTGAAAATGGTCGCCCGGGTTGACCTTTGGTGTGTTTGTGGTATTATGAGATTGGTCCACTTTTTTGTCACAGAGGGGTGTTCCACAGAGGGGGTGTTCGGTGTCGATGAAAGATTTGTTTACAACAAGGCGCTGGTAACATTGGCGGGTGGACGTGGTGAGATATTAGTTGTTCCTGACGTTTTAAATTAGATACAATCGAACGCAAGTTTTGCGAGTAGTAAAGTGGTGTATGCTAAAGTACGGGACATCACCAAGACCAAGGACATTCTATCACCGTGTGGTGAAAGCTTCTTGCCGGGACAGACCTCGATCTGCTCGGAAACATGTATAGAGAGCACCGGGCCGTAACGCCGAAGGTTACGTGGCTTACACTTCCGGGTTATCGAACAAGGACATTATACAGGTCCTTGAACGAACGTAAAATTATGTGGAAAAATGCCATAAATCCGCAAATAGATATATATTTTCCCCAAAGGTTCTTTGAATTGTGGCAATCATATTTTCACTAAATGTGGCTATGCAATCGTGGAAAACAGCGTTTTAGGGGGCACACCCCAATTTATTTGGGGCCTCTATTCGAAGCTGCACACCCTCAAATCTAGCGACCGTCTCTGGCGTGGAATAATTCGGAAGGAGAATAACTGTATATGGGACGAAATGATATCTCTT